AATGAATAAGGAAGACCTTAGAAGAATCGATGCATTTGAATTATGGTATTGGCAAGGAGTAATCCTGACGTGACAGTGTAGGGTACACACTGGATTGCTATACACATGGTCAGCCATTCAAAAGCACCAACCACTCCTTGGAAACCTTAGATTGTGTCCCTATGAGCCAGAACTTACACTACAGCACTTAACAACAACACTGGCAAAGAATATTGAAGTACCATGGACTACCAGACTAACAACCATATCTATCTTGGAAGAAGTACTGCCAGAATGCTCCTGAGGAGCCAGGGTGGTGATACTTCATCTCTTGTACTTTGGACATGTTATCAGGAGGGACCAGTCTCTAGAGTAGGACATCATGCTTGGAAAGTGGAGAGTCAGGGAAAAAGAGGAAGACCCAAATGAGATGGGTTGACATGGTGACAGCAACAATTCACTCAATTGTGAGGATGGCACAGGACTGGGCAATGTTTCCTTCTGTTGTGCCTAAGTTCACTGTGAGTCAGAACTGACTTGATGGCACCTAACAAAAACAATAACAGAATTCTTAAAAGAAGAATTATTCAGAGATGGTCCGGTGCCATCCTCACAATCAGTGTTAAGCTTTAGCCCATTGCTGATTCCACTGTGTCAACCCATCTTGTTGGGGGTCTGCCACTTTTTCTCTGATCTTCCATTTTACCTAACATGGTGTCCCTCTACAGGGACTGGTCCCTCCGGATAATACGCCCAAAGTCTCACCATCCTGGCGTTTAAGGAACATTCTGGCTGTATTTCTTCCAACACAGATTTGTTTGTTCTTCTAGCAGTCCATGGTACTTTTAATATTCTTCTCCAACACCATAACTCAAATACATTAATTCTTCCATGGTCTTCCTTATTAATTGTCCAACTTTCACATGCATATGAGGTTATTAAAAATACCATGGTTTGGGTCATACACATCTTAGTCCTCAAACTGACATCTTTGCTATTTAACAATTTAAAGAGGTCTTGTGCATCAGATTTGCCCAACGCAATATGTCATTTGATTTCTTGACTGCTGCTTTCATGAGTTTTGGTAGTGGATCCAGGTAAAATGAAGTTTTTGACAACTTCAATCTTTTTAAATGTCTCATTATGTTATTTATGGCTCCAGTGGTGAGGATTTTTGTTTTCTTTACGTTGAGTTGCAACCTATACTGAAGGCTGTGCTCTTTGATCTTCATCAGTAACTATTTTAAGTTCTCTTAACTTTCAGCAAGCAAGGTTCCATAATCTGCATATCCCATGTTGTTAATGAGACTTCCTT